AATTCATTTTTCTTTCAGTGGCTCTGATTCTAGGGACAGAGTGTGTTTTTTTGGCACTGGTTTCAGAGTCAGGGCAGGTTTCTTTGGTTCTGGGTTTAGGGATAAAGTGTTACTTTTGCTCACACCCCAGATCCAGGGTGTGTTTCTTTCCCAGGTTCTGGGTTCCAGGATCAGGGTGGGTTTCTTTAGCTAGACCCTTCTCCTTACACTGGGCACATGTTGTGCCCCAGGACCTAGGTCCTAGAGGCAGAACTCCCACTTGGTTCAATCAGACCTAGTGGATTCCATGTCTCAGGAAGCTGCTTAGGTCCCTAGTGGAATGTGAGGATTTGTGGTAGGGCGTGGGTCCTATAGGGTCCATTTCGGGTTTTTGGTGTGGGAGCCTGCCCACAGGAGCCTTCCCTGTTGGCCAGCAACTGTGGCAACAGTAGGTAGGGGTTCCCAGGCATGGATTGTCTCTGGTTATGCCTTTACCTTGGGGCTTTTGACAATAGTGGTATTTATCCTGTTATTGTAAGTTCCGTGTGTCTCACTTCTGCATGGCATGTCCTTATGCTGCTGCTGCCCTTGAAAAAAAATCAACTGTACTTATTCTGAAAATGGAAAGGACCTCCCCACCAAACCCTCCAGGTTGTTAAAGATAGCTTTGTTCATGAAAGTAGAACTTTTGAGAATTGGGAAGAGAATAATCAAATAAGCTTATCATATTTGCCTTTTGAAATTTCAGAATTGAATCTGCTCAGTAACAAAGATAAGTGTCCTTATGCAGGAATGCTTAAACCAAGGTCAAAGAGCAATATTTCTCATACATTTGGAGCAAAGAAGAGAATTGTTTAGAGTCAGTTTGAATTGATGCATGGTTTACTGCTTGCTTATAGTGTACAGGAGATAGTAGGTGTTAAGCTGTTGAGCAGTCAGTCACTCTGTCCTTTTGTAGAAATAGTTTGTGTTGCGTTATAGTTCCATCTTGACACAGTTAAACAAAACAGCTTACCAGGTAACCTGCTATGAAATAATGTGGTGCTCCAGTTCTGTGTCTTAGTGCGGGCACTCACTCATGATTCTGTGTCCTGTAGGAACTCTTTGGGCTTTTCCTTTCGTTATAGAGTTTTTCTTCTATGACACAGATCAATGTGCTTTGGTGCAGCTTTATATTTCCAGGTATGTTGTGTGATATAGATTAAATGTAGTATATTCAGAAGCCTTGATATGTCCAGTTATTAGAACTGGGGAAAGATTTTTATAGATTTAAAATAAAGTTTTTCAATTTTCCTTCTATGATTAGTTATTGTTGTGAATACTTTCCAGAAATAATTTGGGTCATCCTTTGCCTTCCTGCTCTTGAATTTCATACCACTGTTACCTGCTAGACCAGTGTTCTGCTTAGACTCTATTTCCTACTAATTTTGTTCACTTTTACTACTTTGTTGTAGTTTTCATATTTCTAGAATCATAGTGATTGAGTTCGACTTAGCTTCCCTGAACGTAGTCAAGTATAGAAAAAAATCAGAAAAAGAAATCGCCCTCTTTCCCTGATGTCTTTTGTCCCCTCCCTCAACTTTTCCAGAATTTTGAAAATTACATGGTACTGCTGAAAAGAAAAGTGTTGTGGGTACCAAGTCAGGAATGGCAAGGGAGTGGAAAGAAAACATTTTAAACCTGACTTTTTGACGTGAACTGGTTCCAGCTGAGTGAATATGGACTAGAAAAGTTGACTGTTTTCTGTTTTTTCAGAAGTGTTTTCTTTTCTTTTTATCCATGTTTTCTGCTATATTTCCCATCTCTACTTTATACAATCTTAAGTTTTGACAGTAAAGGCATGCTGGTCAGAATTTAGTGTTTTGATATCAAATATAAGAGTTACTACTATGTATTTCAACCAGCAGGAACTGAGACCCCTGTTGGCGTCTTAATCCAAAATCATCATTTTAAATTCACCTAAACCTTGCCTTAAGGGCTGGAGAAAAGACAATTTAGGGAACAGCATGAGGTTAAACATATTGATCAGTAGTCCAATAGTCCTTTCTAGACTTGGGGTAGAATGTAGACAGAAAAATAACATTATCAACAACAACAAAGATTACTTCTCCAGAGAAAAACTTTTTCCCTTTTTTATCTCTTTTTTTTTTTTATATTTGAGATTATAATGATAACAAATCTTCCCTCTCCTTCCAAATCCTCCCATATACCACCCTTTCAAACTCATGGTCTTTTTTTTTTTTTTTTTACTAATTGTTATTGCATGCATATATGTGTGTATATACATATGCATACATATATGTTCCTAAATACAGTCTGTTCAATCTGTATAATGTTACTTGCTTGTATGTTTTCAGGACTGACCATTTGGTACTGGACAGCCAATTGGGGTGTTCTTCCCTGAGGAAGACCGCCTCCCATTCTCCCAGCTCTCTTCTGTTGCCTAGGGTTGAGTCCCTGTCAGCCTCCCACCATCCACTTGGGCATGTCCGTTAGTATTGTCCTCACTTGTCTCAATTATGGCACTCTTTTTGGTGAGTTCTTGGCTTCTGACATTACCAGGAGATACAGTCTCAGAGCAAACTCAGGATCAAACTCCCTGATCCTTTGGCTCTGATCCATTTTCCCTCTTCTCCACGTTCTCCGGGCCTCAAGAGTGGGAGTGTTTTGTGGATATCGCCATTGGTGCTGGGGCCTACAACTCTGCATTCTGACTAGTTGTCATTGCAAAGAGATCGTCTCCATCTCTTGCAAAGAGAATTTTCCTTGATGAAGAGTCAATTCTACACTTTTCTGTAGGTATAAGGACTAATGTTTAGACGATTGTTAGAGATTAGTTTGCTTTAGTAAATTAGTAGATTTCCTTTAATAACTGCGACTTCATTAGCATTGAACCTGGGTACTGGTTTTCACTGCCAGGCATGGTCTTCATCTTGTTGAGCAGGTATCAATTCCAATTAGAAAGCTGTTTGTTACCACCAATATTAGCATGCCACGACTGTGCCTGTAGGGTGGGGTTGCAGTGCGATGCAGGTCATTCATGTGGTTCACAGGAATTGTAGCGGGGGGCGAATTTTGGGTTACCTCCATTCTTTGGAAGCTTGTATCAGCCTTTAGATATTATGAAAACCAATCCTCAGGGAGTGGGTATTCAGTCAGGTCTATCTCAGGGTTCTCTGGGACCTGTTTCTTAACTGCGTAATGTCTTCAGCACTTCTCAGAGGTAACCAAGGGATACAGCAATAGGCTGCATGTTTTAGAAGTCTTTGGATAGCCCTGGCAAGCTCAAAGGAAGTCATCTTATGTCTGCTATTATGCTTTTTGTGAGAGGGTCTTTGTCTCATGGTGTGAGTACTGTCAGCCTAGATGAGAAAAAATTCATTAAAACTCTAGTTGTATGTTTATAAATAGAGTTAGTGTATTAAAGGTTTTTTTTGTTTCATCTTTTTTCTTTTTATTAAATAATCTAGTAATGCTTGCTAGACTTGGGGTAGAATCTAGACATAGAAGAAAAATCACTATCATCAACAACAAAAATGCATTGCTGATGTAGAGAGAAACACTTTTCCTTTTTAAAACATGGATTTGTAATAATGGAAAGGTGTCTTTCATGCATGGATTAAAAAGTTAAGAATGTAAATGTTGTAGAATATTATTTTAACTAGGCAAAGATGTGTTACATTTACTATGCTGCAGAATATTACTTAACTGTGTAAAGGTGTGGTACTTTTGTTTATGCTTCATTTGTTTAACAATGTAAGGATGTGTGTTCAATTATGTAAAGATATGTTGCATCTGTTTTGCCTTGCTTGCTTAAGGCACTCAACTAGTCTAATAAAATGCTAAATGGCCAATAGCTAGGCAGGAGAAAGGACAGGCAGGGCTGTCAGGCAGGCAGACTAAATAGGAAGAGGAACTAGGCTCAGAAAGAAGAACAAGAGAAGGAGGAGAGAATGAGGGCAAGAAGCCAGGCAGCAGCCAGCCAGATATATAGAAGCAGTGAAAGGAAGACATACAGAAGAAAAGTAATAAGCCCCAAGGCAAAAGCTAGATTAAGAGAAGCATCTTCAAACATTTTAAGTTAAAAGAGCTAGCCAGAACCGTACCTAAGCCAGGCCGAGCATTCAAAAAGAATAAGAAGTCTCTTTGTCATATTTGGTAGCTGGTTGGTAGCTTAAAACAAAAAAGCCTGGGCCGGGCGGTGGTGGCGCACGCCTTTAATCCCAGCACTCGGGAGGCAGAGCCAGGCGGATCTCTGTGAGTTCGAGGCCAGCCTGGGCTACCAAGTGAGCTCCAGGAAAGGCGCAAAGCTACACAGAGAAACCCTGTCTCGAAAAACCAAAAAAAAAAAAAAAGCCTGTTATATAGGAAAGTAGGAATTTATACCTACTCAAAGTGAAAAAAAAATGATTACCCAACTTCTATCACATATTATGGTGTTTGGTGAGCTATATAATTGACTCTCTTACTAAATACAATATACAGTAAGCTTGAATTTTTGCAGAAGTATATTAGTGATTGCTTTACAAATAGGCAATGCCCATTACAAAGTTATTTTTAGTTTAATGTCTTACAGCAGCCTTATCAACCCTATTTAGGACGTTGTTGAACTTGAGGTCTTTGGGAATTTGGGTTCTTTTGTAAAATGGAACATTATTGTACTATTCTAATTTTGTTGTTATTTACATTGTAACATGTTTATAATTTTCATTCCGGGAATTTTCTGTTTGTATTGAGTATATGTAGAATGGTATTGGGTAAGACTTTTAGCCATACATGATGTTTTTATGAAGGGATAATTGGTTTTCTTCACATCATTTTCCAAATAAGGGATAAACAATTTAATTGAAACTATGTATGTTTATACATATAATATTTTATTTATAAATTATCTTATTAGGCTTTCCTGTGAGAGAAAATATTTGATAATTCTTGGACTAAAACTTGATTTTTTTTCCTTTCTTGCTTTTTGTTTTAAATGCTGGCAACTGTTGTAATTCTCTGTGTGTAATCTGTTGTAGGTAGCTTGTATGCAGCTCATAAATGCCCTTGTTACATCTCCTGATGATTTGGACTTCAGGCTTCACATCAGAAATGAATTTATGCGTTGTGGATTGAAAGAGATATTGCCAGTAAGTGCCCTGCAGTCTCCTCATTAATATTTAAATTAGAAGTGTACTTGAGTGGGGGAAATTTAGATAAATTACTCTCAAGAATAATTCATCTGTGGGAAAAGACTTGAGTATAAAAATCTAGTTTTGAAATATAGATGATAAGATTTGAGTATTATTTAACACTTTAAGTGTTTGGATTCTGCCAATCATGTTTGAATGGTTGGTTTATTGTTTATGTTATTGATAAAGTTACTCCTACTGAAAATCTAATCCATCACATTTTTTATCTAATATCTATAGAACTTAAAGTGTATTAAGAATGATGGCCTGGATATACAACTTAAAGTCTTTGAGGAGCACAAAGAAGAAGATTTGATTGAGTTCTCCCATCGCCTTGATGATATTAGAGCTGAATTTGAATATCCTTTTGCTCTGAGTCCTAGTCAAAAGATGTGTACAATTACTTTTACATCTAAAATAGTACACTATATCTCACAAAACATTCAAGTGATTCCATAGAAACTATATGAAATCAAACCTTTAGGTATTAAGAAAGTGTCACTATTTTATAAACTTAATTTTTTTTTGTCAGTACATATGTGGAAAGGGATGCTACAATTAGTAAAATAATTAGCTTAGACCAGATTTTTGTACAGTCTGTTGTTTTTTATGGCTGGCGTCTTTCTTCCATGTAGTATTGGGCTTGAGATAGCCTCGACCCATTAAATGCTCCTTTCTTCACAATGGATGAAGTACACTGGAGGCCTCATGGAAGCTGATAAATCTACAGGTGCCAAGTGTCTCCATGACTCACTAGAATCCTGTTTTGTATCATGGCTTCTCCTTGATGCGTGCTGTGCGCACACTTGTTCTGTTGTTAAGGACATCCATAGACCTTAGTGGGTTTTCCCAACCAGCTGCTGGCTCGGTTCCCACCGTATTTTCCAGTGAGTGCAGTGGATTGTGAAGGGTAAAAAGTGTCTGTCAACTTGCCATCCCTGGCATTCTCTAAGTTGAATTTCTAGATAGATCTTTTAATGCACCAATTTCTAGATAGTTGTTTGTAGACCAGTCTTCCAAACCCTCCTACAGAAGCTACTGTTATAGCAGCTGTTCTGTGTAGGTTCGAATAAATTCATGTGGTCCTTAATCAGCACACTGAAGCATCTGATGTTTATAACATGGTGTGGGACTCAGTTAAGCAAACTAGAGCAGAGGGATATTTTGTTTCTATTCTTCAGCATCTTCTGCTCATTCGAAATGACCATTTTATAAGGTAAGGGGAAGCAATGATCTGTTGTTTAACTGATAAAACTAGTAGTTGTGAAATTCACTTTATTCAGATAAGCAAGTTATTTTATTTCCTTCATAATGATCTACCGACTTACTTCCTTTGGGCATATATTTAGGTAGATGTGGATATAATGCCATTACTGTTGCTTTTTCAACTCCCAAATAGCTTAGTTGTATCCTCTCCTTTGAATGAAAGTTGAAACCATGTCCATTATTGTCCTTGTTCAGTGAGTTTGGGCAGTTATGTTGGTGAAACATTATGGGTGTATCTTCTGCTGTTACTAGAAGACACATCTCACATCTCTAGGAGACAAACTCCCTTTTCTCTGGTTCTTACAATCTTTCTGCCTCCTCTTCTACAATGATCCTTGAACCTTAGGGGACTGTTTTATAGATACATTGGGATACATATGGGTAACATGCACACTGTTCAGGTTATATTTAGAAGAGTGTGTGTGTGTGTGTGTGTGTGTGTGTGTGTGTACATATATATTTATAGATACATACATTCATGTAAAAACAATTTTAAAAAAGGCCATGCATTTGGAAGAGTAAAGAGGGAGTATATTGGACAGAGTGGAAGGGATAAATGATATAATTAGAATCTCAAAAATAAAAACAGTGACAATTATTGCTAGTACACTAATTTATTATATGCAACAAATGTGTAATATTTTGTGGTTATTTCTTAATCACCAGGAATGCTGTTGATAGGTTGCTTTCTCTTAAGTTAATTATGTCTTGGCTATTTGAGCTTGACAAATTGTTTTGTCTACCTCATATGGAACATAATGTGGTTCTAAGTAGACTTGAGTACCCAAATGACTGTACTATAAAGTTTAAGTATGGTTACATGAGTAAAACTATGAGTTTAATTCTTTTTCAAAGCTTCTCACAATGCAGATTTTACTTTATTTTTATTTATTTTTTCATCTGGACTGTCTGCAGTTTCTTCCTCCTCCTCTTCTCCCCATCCACTCCCCACCTCCATCTATTTCTCCATTGCTCTTCAGAAAATGATAGGCCTTCTTTTGCCGTGGACGGTTGTTATCCATGGGAGTTGAATTCTTGACACACAGTGTATGCTCAGTAAATGACCTTAACCACTTTCCACTTGTATTAGTAGTTTATGAGTGGGATCAAGGTCCTCAGATATAAACTCCTTTGTTATTTTCTCTTTGCAGAAATTTCATTCATAGGTGGTTGGGATAGTTGGTCTTTCTGTACCCGATTTATATAAGATCTATAGGAAACCCTTATCTAGGCAGCACACCCCTGGGTGATATTGGAGGGTTTAACAGAGTGTCATTTGCTATACAGACAACACTGAAGAAAAGGCAAAAGAACCTTTATATTCTTTCTATTGGTTGTTCTTCACACATCAAACTTTTGTTGACGCTGTAATTCCTGTGAATATTCTAAACTTGGCCAGTAACCTGTTTTATTGTTCAATGTGCTGTTTTCTGGTACTTTGTTTAAAATAGACTAAATATTTAAGCACTGATAAATTCTACATAAACCTACTAATTGATTACATTTAAAAATATTAGTGTACCCTTTTAATTAGTGTTGTGTTTCTACCTTAAATTTGTGTAAGAAGCAAATGAAACTTCTGTTTAAAGTATACCCACCCATTTCTTGGTCATTTTGTGCTTGGTTCTATCAGCCCCTGGTTGGTAAATGCTGTTTGAATCCCTTGAATTTAGGACCATTGTTAGCATTTTAAAATTTCCCTTTTCCTCATGTTCAGCTGAAGCAGTTTTCTTCAGCATTATAAATGATTCATTAGGTGTAGTTAGCTTGTATAAAGATAGTGGTATCTGTACATGGTTCATTGAGGGGAAAGCTGAAGTGGCCAGAAGGCCATCACATTTGAAGAATATGGTTTGGAGAAAAAAAATCACAAACTGTATATAAATCACTGAGATCGGAAATCAATTCACAAGTGATGAGGGATGTAGGGTTCCTCATTATAAACCACCCTGCTGCTTGAATTGCCTTTGTCCACATTTTTTCTTTTTCTTTCGTGTTTTCTTCACACCGCCTTAAGTTAGGACATGTTTCTAAGTTGTTAGGAATGCAGATGGATTGATCGTGCTGACAGCACACCCCTTCTTGAAACTTTTCGTGCAACTTTGGCCTTTGGCCTTTGATGTTAAAGTTTCTAGCCTTCTTTTGAGTAAGATATATTAATTTGGTTTCCTATCATTTAGAGTATCAATTTGGAATTTCTTTCCACAAATTGATTTTATGAAGCTCTAGTAGAAATTCTTTGAAAAGATTTTTGGTGGTTTGGTTTGCATTAATGAATTTCTGGTAGCTCTTTAGTAGCTACGTTCTGAGGTGGCTCGAAGTGCCTGTCATGTCTTCATAATGTCTTTTTTTAGTGCAAATGAATGAAATGTCTGATTTATGGGAAAATCCTCAATGAGTAGTAGATTTCCTGACACATCATTAAAAATACGTCAAGGCCTCATTAGAAAGATGAGATTCCCATGCTGTGGTATACCACCTGTTGAAATTATGCTGAGTAAAAATTTAAACCTGAAGTCACGTTTCCATCAAGTATATTGTTTAGATGTAAAGTTGTACTCTTGAATTGAGTGTAAATATGCTCTTTGTTTTTAGACAACAGTACTTCAAACTAATTGACGAGTGTGTATCACAGATTGTGTTGCATAGAGATGGACTGGATCCAGACTTCACCTACAGAAAAAGACTAGATTTGGACTTGAGTCAGTTTGTAGGTGAGTATTTCTGTTATTTATGTAGAACTATCTTGAGTTTGTTCTGATGGGCTAACTCTTAGCTGTTGGTTTTCTTCATTTGACTGGAGATCTCCTGAGGACCTTTGATCCCCTTTCATGAAGTCTTAAATGTCAAAGCTATGTTTCATAACAATACTATACAAACTCTTACTTGAATTTTTTGTGTGTTTATATGTAGAACTGATGATTCCAAACAATGGTTTGTAAAACAGTTGACCCTGTTACAATGATATTGGCACAAAAGCCTAGTGATAATCATTGTATTCTTTTCTTTTGGCAGACTGGATCAAGGAATTTGAGAATTTTTTTGACATCTTAATATTAAATATCCCTATGTATACCCTTTTAATATTCTGTTGCTCAATGAGATATGTACATTTCAGAGTACATTGAGAAAACTTTTATCATTTGAATTACAAGCATAACTGACTTCTTGCATTCCTTATTTTTTTTTTTTTGGCATTTCTGTGTGTGTTTAATGTATGTGTTTGTGAGTGAGTGTGTGGGTTACACACTGGTGTGTATGTGGGTAAATGCATGGAGGCCAGGCAGGTAGGGTCTCTGCTGAACCTTGACCTTTCATTTTGTGGGTGGCTTGGCAGCCACCAAGCTCCAGTAATCCTCTTTGTCTCTGTTGACCTCCTTGTTGGGATTATGGGCATATATGGGGTACATTTCCTGGAACTCGCTTTGGAGACCAGGCTGGCCTCGAACTCACAGAGATCCACCTGGCTCTGCCTCCCAAGTGCTGGGATTAAAGGCGTGCGCCACCACCGCCTGGCAGCAATTGTTTCTTTTCCCCTCACTTTTGTTTCTCATTCCCACTTAATTTTCCTGGCTGATGTTGGATACCATCTCTTCATTCTAGATATATATTGATAATTGGGACCATCCTATGCTTCCTGTTATCATTGAACCATCTCACCTTCCATGATGGGAGGTTAAAATTCAATATGAATTATTCTGCTTCACTATTTTTGGTGTCATATTTAAAGAGCCTTCTTGTAGTATTGCAATATTTTCCTACATTTATTATTAAGTCCCATGTGATTTTTTTCTTTACAAATATAAAGTCATCAAAAGTTTGCATAAAACCTTAATTTAATTTCTTGTTATTATAATTTTAGATGTTTGCATAGATCTGGCAAAACTAGAAGAGTTTGAAGAGAAAGCATCAGAGAATTGCAAGAAAGTAAGTAACCGATTTCCTTTGTAGGACTGTGTGAGCTGCTCCAGGGTGGCGCTTCTTCAGAGTGCCTGGTACTCCCTCTGTCCTCATTTCCTTCATGCCTGTGTGATCAGACCTTGCTCTATGGAGTGCTATCTAGACCATTTTGCTATTGCAAATACTCTCTACATCCTTTTCTTTGTTTGTGTTATCATTACAGATGCCATGTCATCATGTGTTTAAACATGTAATATGATTCATTAGCTTTTTTGGTATACATAGTAAGTTCCAGGACAGCCAGGGCTTTGTAAAGAAGAGACCCTGTCTCAATTTTTTCCTTTCTTTTTTATTAAAAGAAGAAACTATTAGTTATTACCAGCTTCATTTGTTTTCAGCCTAGCAATTTTTCTGACTCCAGTTCTTGTATCTGAAAGTTTTTCTGTGTCCTAGCTGGTTGGCGTTTGGGACAAATTTCTCTCACCCATCCATGATCCTGCAGCTGCTTATAAATAATCTCTCAGAAGCTGATATTAATTATAACTGATTGGCCATTAGCTCAGTCTTACTACTGACTAGCTCTTGCACTGAAACTCTACCCATTTCTGTAAATCTGTATTTCGCCACATGTCCCATGGCTTTACCTGTGTGCCATTACATGCTGCTCCCTCAAGAGCCGGCTGGTGGCTCCTGACTCAGCCTTCCAGAATTCTCCTTGTCTGCTTATCCCTCCTATACTTTCTGTCTGGCTACTGTCCAATCAGCATTTTATTAAACCAGTGTACCAAAGCATTACCCCACAGCATTTCCTCTTTTCTATTTAATTAAAAAGGAAAGTTTTAACTTTAACATAGTAAAATTATGTATAACAAAACAGTTATCAAGCAAGAATTACAGTTACAATATCTAGTCTATTTATATTTGGCAAATTAAAAAAATATTCTATTGTCCTATATTTGTGAGTCTAAGGTTTCGTATCTAACTTATCTTTTATCATAACTAAGGAAGTTTATAACTATCTAGTCTTCAACTAGATTAAAGACCCCAGAAGAATGTTACCTAAGTATACAGGAAATGCATTGTAAGCAATTTCCAATGTTCTGGAAACAACAGAGAGATTTGCCAGCATGGACAGTCATCCAAAGTTCCTCTGCAACGTTGGGGCATCCATCTTCAGCCCATAGGCCTAGTCTCTCAGTCATTTTTTTTTCGCTGTGTCCTATAGAATGTCTGACAGTTTCTTCTGTGAAGCAGGAACCTAAAGGACCATCTCATCTTGCAAAGTTCAGTGTTCATCTTCCCATGGGTCCTGCATGTCCAGTTTATATAGTAGTCCAGGCAAGTACAGTTTCTTGCCAAAATGCCTGTTTTTGCCAATAAGATAAACTCCATATAGAGGTCTTGATGCCCATCCTACTCTTTGAAGCAAATCAGTCCTGCCAGGAGCAGATGTGTCTCATTGTCCAGAATGTCTAAGTTTTCAAAACATTTTAAATGCCATATTCTGTAGGTCTTTGAAGTGGTAGGAGATTATCTACCTAATTGAATTATATCTATGTATACCTAGAAAACTTGACATGACTATAAGTTTGACTATCATAGAAGACTAATTATTAATCTGTATTTCTTAATTATCCATTAAAATTTAAATGAGCTGCACAAACAAAATACCTTGAACAAGAGTATAAATATACTTACAGTATAAGAAAATCAAATTTGTATCAGTAAACTAAAATCTATACCAAAGAAAAAATTTTAAACAAATTATTGGTCTTTAAAAGTAGATTCAATAATTGACCCTTTCATTCTATCATATCGATTACCTCCCCCTTTTTTCCTTTAGAAATTGCATTTATAATAATCATGCTTTAAATAAAATAAACATTCTTAAACAATATTTCAGGAATTTGGATATAACTTCTTATACTGCTTTCTGCTGGATGAGGGTGCTGACAATCTAATGGGGATCCTGAGAAAATTAAAAACTATGGTCAAGTCCTGACTTGGAGTAGTCTGTGACACTGTATTTTCTGAGCCGGTTGCCTTGAAGTTGATTTTGTATGTTGGATGATCTGGGCTGTGATGTCATTGGAGACCTTTCAGGGGGTCTTGGCTGGTCAAACCTAATGTATCTTAATTTGGAGCAAATCGATAGCCTCTTCCTTTTTGTGAAAACAAAAACAGAGCCTCCTTTCCAAAGTAACATATCCTTAGATCCACATTTTGAAGTCAAGATTCCATATATATATATATATATATATATATATATATATATATATATATATATGCTTAATTTAGCAGCCTTTACAATCAAATATCTTATGCAGTTAAAAGTATCAAAGACAACACAATCCAGATTCTCTGTGTAATATCCTTCTTTACGTGGTTAATTTTTTATAGTACTTTTTCTGTCTTTTCAAAGAACTTATTTTTAAAACTTTTTTATATTTCTGTTTATATTCATTTTCTTCTCTCTTCCAAGCCCATGCACATTTTTACACACACTATAAACCATTTAAAGTCTTGTTCCATCTGAATCTTCCTTCTTGTGAATCTATTGCTTTAAACTGCAGCATTAGTAGGACTGAAATGGCAGCTTTGGCTGCTGGCTTTGCCCAACTCAGCTTCCCAACATGGCAGAACTACATTTACTGCCAGCTCTGGGAACCAGGCTCACTGCCAACTGTGGGAAGAGGCTGTGCTTCCATCCAGCAGTGTATAGTCCACAAACCTCTATTCTTTTTTCTTTCTTTCCCCCCTATACTAGCAAAAGCTAAATCTGTCACGATGCAGTGCATTGTGTGTCTTAGAAATGCCACTATGTACCATGGCGGAAATCTACCATGCTGCACTCAAGCCCACATACCATTGAGAACCCACCATATTGTAGCCCATGGCTGGCCTGAGAGACACAACTTGGAAGTTGTTTTTAGCTTTGTTTTAAATTATTTTTTTTTTAAAGCTTTCTCAGGTTTCAGTTCCCATGTTTTGGCGCCATTTGTAGTTGAATATTTTCATGTGTCCCATCCAGTTCTCAGCCGCTCATACTCAAACACACAGAAGTTTATATTAATTAAAACTTCTTGGCCATTAACTTAGGCTTACTACTGACTAGCCATTGTACTTAAACTCAGCCCATTTCTGTTAATCTATATTTCACCACATGTCCTATGGCTTACCTGTGTGCCATTACATGCTGCTTCCTGGACAGCGGGCTGGCGTCTCCTGACTCAGCCTTCCTCTTCCCAGAATTCTCCTTGTCTGCTTATCCCACCTATGCTTCCTGCCTGGCCAATCAGCATTTTATCAAACCAGTGTACAAAAGCATTATCCCACAGCAAATTATCTTTGCTTTCTTTTCATGCAGTGTTTTGGCCTCTTCTTTCTGGCATAGGATTTCGGTATTAGATATTTTCTTGGCTGGAAAATATTCCTGACCTTTGAAGTAGTCATTCAGAAATGAATTCTTAGGGCTAGCTTCTCTTCATGTTGGTGAAGAAATAACTACAACTATTGCCACACAATCATGCCACATCTATATTCACCTATTGAGCCTTTATATTGGGCACCATCTCATGAAGAATATACTGTTAATGTAATAGGACCTAAATGTCCCTGGAGAGATTTCTACTTTTCTGCAAACTTAATCAAACATAAATGGAACTTTCGTAAGGTTTGAAGAACTTCTGTTGAATTTTATGTCTGTGTCATTGTTTGATGCCCTAAGGGTTGGAATTAGCCTAGCACTTTGTGAGAGCTTATGCAGCCCAGCCCATTGACTGCTTGCTAGGTGTTCTACTTAGATTTCTGCTGCTGTGATAAATACTGACCAAAAACAACTTGGGGAAGTAAGGGCTCAGTTACAGTTACAGTTACAGTTTATCATGGAGGGAAGTCAGTCAGGAGCTCCAGACAGGTACCTGGAGGCAGAAACTGCAGCAGAGACCATAAATGGATACTACTTACTGGCCTGCTTCCCATGGGTTACTCAACCTGCTTTTCTATAAAATCCAAGGTGTAGAAGTGGTACTGCCCATAGTGGGCTGGGCCCTCGCATCTAAGCCATCAATCAAGAAAATGAACCTCAGAAATGCCCACAGGGCAATTTGATGAATACTATTCCGCAGTTGAGATACTCTCTTCCTTGTGTCAAGTTGACAAGAACCAACCAGTACTCTAGAATCACAGTTATAAATATGATGTTATCATTGCCTGGAAGATAGTTTGGTGAGGGAAAGAAGTGGTTAGATTATTTAAACTGTCCAGATGGTCGTAAAATGGTTAATAGCTGTTTGATATAGTGTGACGCTTCTCTCTGCCAGCTTTGTCGTCTAAGCTTACATACTACATTTACTTTTCATGCATGTAGTACTGTTTTCAAGTATTAGATGTCAATAGATCAAGAATAGGATAGTATTACGCTTATGTTTTGTTTAGGGTATATGAATCGAGTTAAATAAAAAAAAAACTCAATAGATTTCTTTTAAATAGTAAGCTTTAAATGTAAATAAAAGACCTTGTTCAAGGTTACTTGCCTTTTTAAAGCCAGAAGTTGTATGCATTGCATATATTCAGAAAATACTTTTGCCTCGTAATAGTTTTTAGTGCCATATCATCTTGTATATATCAGCAGAAACTTTGCTCTGATAGCTTTGTAAGGACACATGTAAATACTTAGCTTCAGGCAGGAAGCTATCATAGTTTCTAGGTACATTTTTTATTAAGGTGCATCAATTTGAAAAATGAAGAGCAGAAATGTCAGAAAGTATATAGAGTATATTGAATTATTAACCTTCTTGTGCAGAGACACTAATACATTTACCCCAGGGTATGAAATTAAGCAGAAACTCATCTTTAACTGTGTTTCTTGACATTTTTGAGTGTAATTTTCTAAGTGTAGTATTCCTTCAGCCAAGTTTTTTTTTTTTTTTTTTCCAGTGGGGGCATGGGTGGCACGGAAGAACACTATCATCAGTTTCCTAAAGTATACTTTAATAGACACAGGTTTATCCCCAAGACTACTGTGA